CCTTTTTAAATGTTTTACACACTTGTACACATGTTTTATATATTATTTTATAAAAATCCATGTAAATGACCAATAACCTCAAATGACTTGCGTGTGAGGGGTAGTTAACATCTGCTCCTAACAACTAGGGACGGAATCCGTAACGGAGGATCATTGGTGTAATTACTGAACTCCAACGGCAAAAACCAGAATTTCCCCAAAGCATGGGGATGATCTTTGTTAAAGTATAACATTCATTTTTGATTTCGCATCTACCATTCATTCATTAGGAATTCCCGATACAACTTCACATATGAAACTACATACATTTTACAGTATAGATTCACATGTGAAGGTACATAACTTGAACCCCACATATGTGCACTTGCACAATTTTGTCATTGATTGAACTTTTTTCTTCTTTACATACGAAGATCTTATATGGGTAATTAATGATTAAGTTATTCTAAGATGACACCTAAAGAGCAACCGTTTTGCTTTTTTCGTTTATCCGTAAACGACAAATACGTGATATGTTTCATATACAACCCATTGAATGTCATCCGTTTTACATGGCTCTTCGGCTATTTTTTGGGGGTTCTTCTTGGATGTCACACATATACATTTTTTTAGGTTGTTTCAAAGAACAAACATATCACTTTTTTTCAATATATCTATAAATATTGCTTGCTATAAGTTAACTATTTGACTTATGTTAATAAGTCTTATTTATGTATTTATTTATATATAGTTAATAATATAGAAAAAAGGATCGTGTGAGAATAGAAGTTAAGGTGAGAACTGAGAAGTGTAAGAAGGGATCTGAACCCCGTGATCACTTTTAATCTCACCTCCACCCCATGAGTTGCGCTTCGCAGGGGTATTAATCTGGTGCATCTCTGTGCATTTCATTAGCGTTGATCTTTAATTAGGATTGATCCAAAGATGAAGATCATTTTTTACCCTTTTTACCATAACTTTTTTTTTCACGGAAAAGGAAAAAGCCTAATTGATTTAGTTTTACATGATTCCTTTATTTTGTTCGTTATTTAAAAACGTTATAGAAATATCAAATAGCCCAGGCCCAAGCCCAAGCCCATTAAGATATGCTTGTATGTTTATTAATTAAAAATAAATAAACACTCACTATATATTAAATTATTAATTACATCACATTCATCTAATTTTAAATATATATACAGGGAATAACTTTAAATAAATAAAAAGCTAAATATTTATATTGTAAGAAGAAAATATTCATATGTGAATTATTGAAAAGTTATAAGAAAAAAAATCTATTTTCAGATGCATATGTGAACCCTGTATTACAAATTATATATATGGGTTCACATATGCATCTTCAAGTGAAATTTTCAAGTATTTACATATGAATATTTCGTTAACATTTATTTCCTTATCTTCTCACGATATTTAATCTTTTTTATTTGAACCTTTCACTAATGTCTATTATATCCAAGTTTTATATCCTTTGTAAATTAAAGAAACTATAACTAATAACTGAAAGATTTTATCAGTATACGTAATAAATTAAAGAGTGAGAGCCTTAATGTGATACTATACCTGAACAGTAGTCCATGACCTAAAACCTTACGTCAAATCTGTGCATCGTCAAACAGATAAAACAAAAAGTATGGTTGTGAGATATTTTTTTTCCCAGTAAATCTACAATATCTTCCATTCATAGACAAATATCGTTACATGGGGAATGAAAAAGAAACACTTTAAATAGGAAATGTAAACATACCTTTAAAAGAACGTAATTTGTACATCTTACAACCACCGGTGATTATGACTAGCGATGGTGATTTGTCCCGACCCGGTGGGGAACCCGGTTCACCCTACCCGAACAGGGACGGGGATTCCCTGCTAAAACGGATCCCGGGGCCGGGATCCCCGGTAGACTCAAACCAGGGACGGGGGATGTTACTCAAACCGGGGCCGTGGATCCCCGGTAGAATCAAACTAAAGGAAACTATTTATGGGGTTTTATCGGGGATTGCTAGAGATTTGACCGGAGACGAGATGATAATCCCCGTACCCGCCGGGGATTACAAAACCCGCCCATCCCCGCCCTGTTGCCATGCCTAATTATGACCAACTCACTATAGTCTACCGAGCAAGGTTGTAGGTAGGGGCGGATTTATCAAGAGGGGACTGCGCTCCTATGCACCCGCTCACTCGTTTATTGCAAGAGAGAAAATTTTGGTGCCTAAAAGGTGCAACCGCTTGTTTTTTAGGGGTGCCCATAAATACTTTGAAATCAAATTTATACCAGAAGTTAAACATGGATGAGATGGTTGGATTAACATTTGTTTTTTATTAACCTGAATATCCAATCCGCTATGTGAGCTGACTAATCTCAGGACGACCACCTGCTTTGCAGATAGCCCGGAGTCACCGCATTTGAACATCCGTGGCCACAAGGGGATTTTTATTCCCCTTTGGATTTGAACCTGAGACCTCCTGGTACTTTTGACTTTTGAAGTCAAGCTCAAACCAATAAGACACCACCCTTGTGGTTGGATTAACATTTTATAAGCAAAAGGTCATTGGTTTGAATCTTATTTTAAGCAATAATTTAAGTCTTTATCTTTCAATTTTAGGCTGCAGGACCGCATGGCTGGCTCAGAGCATTAACTCAGACATTATTACCATTATGCCAACACAACTTTTTATCAACTTTTCTCTCGTTTTCTTTTTATTATTCTTTTAATGATTTATTTTCATTCTCAACGCCAATTCACTTTAAAAACCCGTCACTTTTATCTCATTTTCAAGACAACAAATATTTAGTTCAAGATCAAAAGTATTTTCCATTTGAAACAATGTATCTTATTCCCCAAATCGACACAGCTGGCTCTTATCTGTTCAAACCCCGTCAAGTTCTCCCAAATCAAACCACGACTTCGTACACCCACCTTAAAGATGCACCTACTCAGAGAATTTCCAAGATCCGCCCGTGATCGTAGGCCTACATTTTCTCAAGAACTCATGAATACATACAATACACCATGTATGTATGTATGTATGTATTACTTAAGGAATATTATTGGGGTATGTAGGTCATAGAATCGAATTTTGAAAGGATTACTACTGATATGCTGCTACCTACTTTCCAAGAAAACAGGATTTGCTAATTATTTTATAAATAATTAAATATTTCCCCAATCTTTTTTGGTGTAACGAATTTCCGCAATTATCAACAACAATATATAATAATAAATTATATACTATATATAATAATAAATTATATACTATATATATATATATATATATTTCATTAAATATAATAATATTATACGTATAATACTCACGGTTGAAGAATGAAAGAAAAATATATTGATGTGGCATTTTTTTAGCAGTCTCATTCTGAAAAATTAAATCTCGACTGTTTAAAAATAGTATTTGAACGACGTCTTGTTATTTTGTATACAATTCTTATTCACACACAGTTCAACTTTTTGTTCGTAGCACTTTGTGATCTAAAAATATTCTTTTGTGTATACTGAAGACTCATTTGCCACTGTTTTATATATTACTTGAAACGTGAACGAGTTTTGTATGGTTTATTTCTATAACCGAATCAGTGGGTAATTGAGTATTCAGTTAATCTTTTAATCAAGTGACATGTAGTATCGGTATGAATAATTTTTATTATTATTATTATCTTATCATTTATTAGAAAATATTATAAAGAACTAGAAGTGTACTTGTGTAATGCAAAATGTAAATTAAACGGTTTTAAATTTATTCTTTATGATTTGTTGTTCTTCGGAATTCGATAAATTATGAGATGAGATTTTCCAAAATCTAAAGAATTCTATTGTTTATTTGGTTGATTGACCTCATAATTTAGAAGGATGGTAGAAGTTTCCAAAAACTTTGTTTTTAAATTTTAGAAAAATACAAAATTTGAATGTTTTAGAAATCGGAAGAGTCTGTATGCATTAATAATTTGTACTTAACGTTTTTTTTTTTTTTTTTTTTTTGTAAGGGTGTCCGGGCCAAAGTCCGACTAATCCCCGGCAAATTTGGAGGCTAAACATGTCCCCACTTAAATGTCGCCAACATTCCCCTCTCAGGGCTCGAACTCGGGTTCATGACTATGTCATGCCCAAGCCTTTACCACTAGGCTGGAAGGTCTTTGACGTACTTAACGTTTTATAAGGTGTATTCTTGAAAAATTAACGTCGTGTTCTCAAATTCGGAAAGAAAAAAAAAGAAGTTTTCTCCTTGCAAATGAAACAGAATGGAAGAAAATAATTTTTTATGTTATTGAACAAGAAATAAATGAAAAAAAATGTCGTTTTTAAAATTATATATTCTTATGCTTTTTCAATAGTTTGTAATTTAAGCAAAAGTTGATTACCGACAACCTCAATTGGTTCATATGAAACCCATCTTCAAGGATACCAATGTGATGGAGCATTTTTGGCATACTCAGCGGCTGAGGCTAGCACCCGAAAGGGAGTGTGAGATCGAATTCAGGACTTATCTTATATTTAGGCAAAGTCATTATGCCCCTTTGATAACTGAAAGTCTCCAATGGTTTGTATCCGATATCTCAATAAGGGGTTGTTTGTTTACCTCTTAATAGTTTCATTAAGAGGCAACATCTGAATTATTAAGAGGTGAATCTTGATTGGCAAAAAAAGTCTGTCTTTTAAAACCCCCTGAATGATTTTGTATCATGGATCTCCCTTTACCATTAAGAGCCCTAATTACATTGTATACAATTACCAAACAATTATCTTTCATTTTGCACTATATCATGAAAACCTCTTAATCATTCTGACCATTTAATTATTATGCACCAAACCATTCAGTAATTGTCAAACAGCCTTTAACACATGTTTTTTTTATTCCATCTCTTTCTTTTTATTTGTAAAGAAAATTCTTAAGAACACACCACAACAAATTTTAAGAGCAAAAATCACTAATATTCAAATAATTTTATGAATTAAAACAAATATAGCAACATTAATGAAAAAGAGGGTGTAAAGAGTAAATATAACATAGTATAGTGCTGTTTATTAACAATAAAATATAATCTTTACAAGCTGAAATCGTACCCAGATGGAAACAGGGAACCAAGCTGAGCTTCAGTTCATACATACACAAAAAGCTACAAGCTGGCCCCTCAAGTAGTAATTAATTCCAAAAATAACCCACAATCTTTAATTTTCTGCAAAACCTACCCCAAAGACGTTGGAGGGTTAACTTTCAAGACTAGATTTTCCGGGGACGTATCTCCACCAATCCCTCTGGTAAAATCTCTTCTGCAATCGAAGTAGCTGTACACAAAACCCTGATCTTCCCGCCGGCACCGGAAAAAGTAACTTTCCGGTGGTCTCTTTCTTCAAGCTTGTGTTGCCAGTTCTTTGGAGCTTATGAATGTTCCATGGAAACCATATGGAACCCTCGATGGCAGCTTCACCGTCGCCTCCAATTGTAATGTGATTGCGTTAACGATTTGAAGCTCCGATTTCCATGTCTTCTCGTCGTGAACGAAGATCAAAATGTGGCCGTCGTCTTCGATTTCAGAATTTGAATCCCTCGGAAGGAACAGAGGCTCGCCGCCGTATTTTTCGTCGCCGTAGATGAATTTCTTGGTTTCGCCGGTGGAGAGATCCACTTTGGCGAAACCTGAAACCTTGGGCCATGGCTCTGCTATAGCAAGATAAGCATACTTCGATTTCCGGCCAAGAAGGTTTTTGTTCACCATCCCAGCTTCTAGATTGACGTCATTTTCGGCGGAAATTATCGCTCGACGAGTGGATTTTCCAGTCTTCAGATTAAGTCTGATTTCAGACAATACGCTCTTTAATTCTTCGTTGGATTCGTTGAAGATGGAGTCCGCCGGAGTCATGCAGGATCCGATCACCACCACCTCATCGGTTTCGGGTTCTTCCCAAGCGTTCCAGAGGTGAAAACAGAAACAATCGGGAACTTCGACCCATTTCATACCCGACCCATCAGCTGCATATTTATCAAGAACACCAAATCGTGACACTTTCTCTTTGTCATACACCACCGGAGAACCACCGGTGATCATCTCCGACATCTTGAAAACCACCTGGTGGTCAGGCACCACCACGAAATTCTCGGTGATAGCGAAATCATGAACCATAGTAGGCTTTCCCAGATCAATCTCCACATCTTTCGATTTCGTGCCGTCGGGTGAAAATCTAAAGTACTTGAGGTAAGGCTTCTGGATGACGTCGTAGCTGAGTGCGAAAAGCTCGCCGGAAACTGGATCAAGTTTTGGGTGTGCGATCATGGTGGACTTCAATTGCTCGTCGAAGTTATACCGTCCGACTGTTTTCAAGTCGCCGGTGGGAGTGACACGAACTTCATAAGGCAAATCATCCTCCGACATAGCTAAAAGCCGGTTGTTAAAGTAAACCAAACCGGCGTTCGCCACCCCAATGCCTTGGCTGTTATCGACCAAGCCACATAACCCACGAGCATAGAATAACAAAAGCTTGGCTATCCCGGAATGGCCATGGAGTTCTCCGATAGATTTCGGAAAAACCGGCTTACCCAGAGCCCGTTCCTGAACAAGCCTCTGAGTCTCTGTGAACCGGCAAGCGTAGCTAGCCGAGCCCTTATCAAATTTCACAGCGTAAATCATACCATCGCCGTCAAACAAATGGTGGCCGGAAGTTGGTTCGAACAAAGGGTTAGCTCCATTTCTTAAGTAAACACCTTGAATATGATCTGGGATTTTTCCGGCGACTGGTAGACAGTGACAAACAGGTTGTTCCGGGACAGGAGAGAAATTTCCGGCGATCTGAACATTGGGATCAGCTGTTTTAGGTAAAGGGTATTGTTTTTCTCGTGCGGTTAACCCGTTCTCGACTGCATCCAATGCGATAGCAGAAAGTTTCTGCAACAAGTTCCATGATTCCGGGGAAGAAGAAGGCAATTGAAAGGGAGATTGTTTGGGGAATTGAAGAACAGAAGGTGATTGAAGAGCACAATGGACTTTATTCAGTTTCTTAGCAGAAGAAATTGAAAAGGAGGAAGGCATTTTAGGAGATGAAAAGACTCTGGTTCTGGGATTGACCCAAATGGTACTAGAAGAAGTGGAAGCAGACGCCATTGGAAAGCTTTATCGTTGCAGCTTCGAGTTGCAAATTCGAAAGTTGGTTGAAAGGAGGAGGAGGGGGGGAAAGAGATGAAGATTGTGTTTGAGAAGACGAAGTGGGGGAGGGGTATATATAGTGGGGGAGGGTCGTAGGGGCCCACTTTAAACATGTAAGCGGAGACCACGTGTTGGATACTTGAACAAAGGTATCCACAAACCAAACCTTATTACATTTTTTTTTTCATTTAAAAAATATTCCATTCAACAATAATATATAAGAAACTAATAATTTATTATAAATTTTCAAAACAAAAATACATGAATTAAAAAAATGTGTAATTTATATTTTTAATTAATTAAATAATATCAGAATAATAAAAATATTTGTCCTGGTTCTACGGTGATCCTAGTGAAACTCATTATATCTGTCAATCTAAAAAAATATCTGTTTTTTAGTTACAAATTAAGTACAAGCGGAAATACTTATGTCAAATCAGCATTCTTCGCAGCCTCATGTCACTCTGTTGCACCAAATCAACTAGCCTAATATTGTCTTTAACTGGAGGTCTTGTCAAATACTAAAATAACTGAAACTCACAATCATTAACCTTATAAGATAACCACGACTCTTGGCAAGCATGTAATTTTGACTGATGTACTTCTAAAACTAAGATTACAATATATTTTGATACATATCAAACTAAGAAAAATGATATTCTAATTGAAAAAACAAAGGAAACATATAGTTTTGTAGTTATTTTTTTTACACTTACACCATTATAATTAGTTATTTAATTTGCTTCTTATCCTTTGCGTTTTCATTTTTTATTTTACACATTTATTATATTAACATACATAATTGTATATTAATTAAAATACATCAAAAAAATACGGTTTTTTAACAAATTACATCATTATAATCGTATCATTAATACGTTCAAAATGAGTCTCATATCGAATATTTTTTTAATTATAATATTAAATATCATAAATACTACGAATTATTTTTAATACTAACTTATGGTTATTTATTTAATTTGTAACTATAAAGGTATAAATTGTAAATATTAAAAATAATTTATAAGTGTTTATAACATTTAATAATATACGATTAAATTCAAAAATATTCTATACTGAGCTCATTTTAAAGATATTGATGACATGATTAAAATGATGTAATTTGTAAAAAAGAAACATATCTTTGATTTATTTTAGTTAATATACAATTATGTATGCTAATATAATAAATGTGTAAAATAAAAAAAAATGAAAAGTAGGATATATAAAGTAAATTAGATAATTAATTATAAAGATATAAAATATAATTTAAAAATTAAAATTATTTAATTTTTAATATCATCCAGAAGACTGGGAGGTTGTGTAGTTTTAATTGTACATTAAGCTATAAAATGGTACCTCTTAAAATTTCAAGAATAACCATAACTCTTCTTTTGTAAAGGAGTATAAGGGGCCGTTTACCTAAACACTTACCTGGTAAGCACTTACCAGTAAAATTCAACACAATTGTTTACTTACCGAGTAAGATTTTATTCACTAAAACGCATCGTATGCAACAATTTATCCCAGTAAGCACTAACCATGATAAGAGTCATCGTCCTCGCTTACCGGGTAAGACTCTCGATTCTTGTCTTCGCTCTTACCGGATAAGATTTTTAGTCCTTGCCGTATTCATCCAGTAAAGTAAAGTGACTTGGTAAGCGCTTACACGAGTAAGCGTTTGGTAAACGGCACCTAAGTCATATAAACATGTTTGGTTGTTACTTATTTAGTCACCAAGGAAGAGATGTCATTTACATTCGGCCTTGATTTTTTAATCTTTGTCTTAATTAATATACACTCCTAACCTTAATAAAAGAAAACGTTACACTACTCTTCTTGTCTAGCACCTCCATCGAAGATTTGCTTTAAATTCTACTCGGATTTTCAAAACTTTACTTCAAATCCAAGTCAATCATCGAATTTGAACTTGAGATTTCCAAAATCTACCCTATGAAACATAATTGTGATTTACTTCATAGATCAATCGATCTCCTTCTCCTCTGGAGATCGATGTTCCTCCTCCATAGATCGCTGCTCCTTCTCCTCTAGAGATCGCTGCTCCCTAAACCCTTTTCATCTCTTGTGATGAAACTCCCCTCGATATTCTCTCTTGTTGCTCCCTCTGTGATTTGTTCCTAAAATTGAGCCCCTTTTGTTCCTGAAATCTGCCCTGAATTTTTTGCTAGGTTTTTGGGTGTTTCTGAAATGGACCTTCCGGCTCTTTGTTCCTAAAAATATGCATCATATTCGTGACCTTTCCATCATCTCTTCTTCATCTTTCTTGCTTGATTATAGTGGCAATCGAGGCAACGTTTCTCATTTAAGGTTCTTCATCTTTCTTGCTTGTTCTTCATCTTTAGTATCCCTTGTTTTTTTTTCCCGTGTGATTTAGGGTTTGATGTGAGTTTTTGATTTAGGGTTCGGGTTCAGTTTTTTATTTATGTTTGTATCATAAACTTTTCGGGATGAAATTTTACTAAATTGTTGTTGATTTTGATCTGTCGCTGCTCCCCTCCTCTCCGATGGTGATGAAACAACCCACTGGTTCTTTGGTTTTTCCATCAATGTTTAACATGTTGCTCTGTAATCATAGGAGATTGTTTTTCCTTCAATGTAAAACAAAAGGTAAAATAATAAATTTCACCATTCATACTGTTTATTCAACATAATAACCGAACAACAACTTATCAGTTATCTTACAGACAACTTTATCCATACAAAACTTAATTGAAAACGAACCAAACAACCCCTAAATCTACCACTTATGAGCATCTTGTGAACCCCGTTGAACACATTGTAAACACCAAATAACATTCATAACAACTGAACCAAACATTGTTCACACCAAACAACTCCAATCAAGTAAAGACAACACACTGTGAATACCAACCATTGTTCTTCAAAAACCCATGCATCGTTCACATGTTACTAATACAACCAAATTGTTCACCTTGTGAACACCCATTAAATCTATAAGACAGAGACATCAACAATACCATCACAACGATCTTCTTGATGCTCATTATGTAGATGAGATTCTCGATACTTATTGTTGATCCATTGTAAATCTTGATACTTCAATTAGGAGACGTGTTTTGATTTCAAATCAATAGATAAGTATAGAATGTTTTTAAACTATATAACTGATTACAATCAAATCTATTAGATATGGGGGACAGAGAGAGGATAATATTTAATATATTAACCGGATAAGCTCTCATCCAATTACAAAATTACCAAATCACCCATATATCACAATTAAACATAAAACACTTTAATCAACCACAAGGGTGGTGCTTGATTGGTTTGAGCTTCGCTCCAAAAGTCAAAAGTGCCAAGAGGTCCCAGGCTCAAATCCAAGAAGGAACAAAAATCCCCTTGTGGCCACGGAAGTTCAAATGCGATGACTCCGGGCTACGTGCAAAGCAGGTGGTCGCCCTGGGATTAGTCGGCTCGCATAGCCGGTTGGATATCCAGGTTAATAAAAAAAACACTTTAATTAAAATGGTGACTTAGGATGAATGTCACGAATCTCACATATTGTAGAGTTCTCAAATGATCAAGCCCCTATATATATCTTGCAATCATTTTAAATGTATATCCACATTATGTAAATATATCATACGGCGTACATTTGAATTCGGTTCACGCCTATATGCTATAAAAATCGATATAAATCACATGTAATGTTATTTAATTTACATCCTAAAACCAATCAAACCAGTATATTTCATTAAAAGATATGGTTTGGGGTTGAGACATATGCAGACCGATCGGTTTATGTATTGTTTTAATTAAAAGTCTAGTAAAGCATGTTGGTCCAATGGGTGAGACAATTGGACAAGACGTAGGAACCAGGCGAGCCTATTGGTTCATTTGGTGGGAACCAAACCAACCAAGCCACGAGCCAAGGGGGTCTTCATTCGAAAGGAGCTAGTGGGGACTATAGACAGTCTTTAACACAACCATGTTATGTGTTTCTTTAAATAAGAAATATAAAAATATATTGAAATTTTATATAAAAATTTAGCACTATCATTTACTTACCGGGTAAGATTTTAATCCACCAAAACGACATCGTATGCAACAATTTACTCGGTAAGCGCTTACCGTGGTAAGAGTCGTCGCGCTAACTTACCGGGTATGACTCTTGGTCCTTGTCTCGCTCTTACTGGGTAAGATTCTTGGTCCTTATCATATTCATCCAGTAAGGTAATGTGACTTGGTAAACGCTTACCCGGATAAACATTTGATAAATGATCCTTTAATCATTTAAGGACTTCATGTAGACAGTTTTTTACTATGGTGTTCACACGGTTCATAAGTGATGTGTATAGATTTGGTTTTATTCATTTAATTTGTATTTTATGTTCACAAGTTATACCAGATCTCGTAGATTTAGAGCATGTTAAGTTCATATTCAAATATTAGATTTTATTTTTCAACTATTTTTTATGGTTTAAATTGAATCTCACGAATTAACAAGTTTTTACAAGAAAACCCCCCACATGTAATCATGCAGGGATTAGATAATTAACAATCATGCATACAATTACATGTGATTATATATGTAATTATGGATATGAAATGTATGAATAATCTAATATTCGCATGTGATTATGTACATAATCACGTCTAATAATATATAAGATAAAGACAACAAGGTTTTCGCATTCTACCAAATTATATGTGATTGTGCATATAATCAGAAATGGTTTGTTATATGATCACATGTAATCATACATAGAATCACATATAAATATTGGTGAACTAAAAACAGATGAAAAATAGAATAATAAAGAGTCCAATGGGACTGGAATTTTTTTTTTAATATTTTTTATATAATTTGTTTAATGTTTGACAATTTTTAAAAGGAACGAGGAGTACTTTTCTTATTTTTAATGTTAATTAGAAAGATATTCGTGCAATACAACGAGATACATCTTTATTTTAATATTTTGTTTTATT